TCCTAACGTAAAAACCAACATTTCTTAAAGTTCAACGATGATTAACTTTCCTTTGTCACAAATGCCAGGGCTTTGTGCTCCAGGGCAAAAAAGGGTTCACTCAGAACAGAAATATATAAACAATAGCTTCCCGAGTTGGCGCGAAGATATGCACGGATATTTGTCCGCGGACATTATCTGTTCCGAGAGGCAAACAGTTTTCCGAGAGCGTAGCTGGAGGAAAACTGTGAACTTTGAGGAACAGATAATGTCCTAGGACAAACATCCGTGCATATTTTCGCGCCAAATGGAGGCTATTGTTTCTTTATCATCCAAATTTATATGCTTATTCAAATACAAAAAGAATAGAGTTTTTTTAACAAATCTCTTGGTGGCGCATCTGTGTTGTGAAGCTAATTCTCTTTAGCGTGCCCAACATCAGTAAAGCCAAGATCCCGGCCATCGGCAAACAAATCTAATGTTCATGAGTGATTACCAACCCATCATTATGAGTTTAAAAGATGCATACCAAATCACATCAAATTTACAAAAAATGTTCATGTCTCGTTACAATTATGCAACTCATAACGAAATTCCTTAGCTTTAGAGAAATGTTCCCTGTATCTGAGTGATTCTTCTATAAATGAATGTATTTCAAACATTTACTGATTTACTTCCTACAAGAGAGGTTTTTCAATTGCCAGGAGATGGTATTTATTTTTTTAGCCATAGTTTTAGTTCTCAGAGTTCTGTCATCAGAACTTCAAAAATGGTCTATAGAATAGAACTGATCCGACTTGATATCCTATAAATTAACCAGAATTCGATATTGTCACTATTGATCATATACATCATTAAGACCGGCAAAAACCTCTGGCATGCGTTCTGGGCCGGATTTTTGCATTTTCTCCGGGTTGAACATCGGTACTTTTTACCGCTTCATTTACTATCCTTAGTCTTTCACAGCTTTTTTTCGCCGGGAAGGAATGGGTTCGGAGCACACAATGGCAGGGAACTGAGGGTATGATTGACAACTCGGTGATGCGCCTCGTCAGCTCGGATGGCTAAAATGACGTCACGCATTGTTGAACCCTCCTATGAAAAAAAAAACAAACAAAGAAAAAGAAAAAACGAAAAAAACGAGACGAAAAGTAAGATATTGTGCAAAAATCAATGTTTTACTCACTCTCTGCGCTCGTTAGTAAAATGGTGCCTTAATAGCTCGAAAATAAAATTCGTATCTTTACACTGCCGTGTAATATCCTCTATAGGCGAATCTTTGCTGACGTCATTGTTTTATTTTTATATTTTTCCTCATTAATAGCTGGTTTTCACATGACGTCACCGAAATTCGAACTAAAAAACTATTGATCTTCCTGAGATTTTACTTAAATGATGTATAAGAGCAGCTGAAATCTAATATTCATACAAATTTTCGCTCCGAATGGGTTCTTGGTTTTGTGATACACTACGCTTAAATTTCTAAGCTTTTGCGTGACGCG